TAATCAATAGACTATTGTCTCTTGTTTGTGATTAAGCCAATAAAACTTTACTACTTCCTTAAATTAGAAGAGTAAATTATTATAGTTATTACACATCAAACCCATGTGCCCCTTTTGACTTACTATGCCAATTAAGTACTACAAATGAACTCTAATCTTTCTCCACCAGCTGCCTGTACCCTTTAAGCCTATGACTTTACCCAAAAATTGGACAAAACTCCAAGCTGTAATTGATGGAGTTGTTGGGTCCATTTTAGAGTTTAATTAAAAACTCTACTCCATTCCCCCCCCCCCCTCTTCATAAACTTTCAGATAGTGATAATTTTAGTAACATTTAAGTTAATAAACTAGTGTAACCTTACTAAATGTGGTAGATCATGATGAAATAAAGTTTTTAGGTTGGGCATTTTAAGAAAAATAATAGCCAGTTTTTAGAATGCCTTAATTACAACATATCAATGGTGATCATCTGCAATTGAAATTATGATTCAATTGGTAATATGCACGAATTTTGATCATAAATAAAATTTGTTCTGTTTGAAGTTTTCTATTCCATTAATGTTTAGGGAAAAAAAAGGAATGCATGTTTGGTTGGCCATGAACTTGGAAGATTTTTCAAATAATTAAGTCGCTGCCGGGTTGATTCAAGCATTATTTGTTATTAAGTGATTACTCGACTCGTTAAAAGGAAGTTTAATTAATTTTTTTGGTTCTTCAATTAAAAGAAGTTTAGTCGACTAAATATTAATTTTTGCAATAATTTTCATCTTTCAGGATCTTTTGAATAAAGTAAAATCTGAAATTTAATGGGCTAATCTTAGGACAAATTTCTCCAAAGTCTTTGCTTGATAAGATGAAAAAATGAAAGTTATTTATTGTTTGAAATATGAGTTAGATTCTTTGAGTGGAAATAAAAGATGTTAAGTTTAAGTAATATAGCAAGTGAGTAAGTAAAGTGGGTCAAGAGAGCAAAGAAATTATTTTATATTTTGTAACTTAAAATAAAAAAAAA